ATCGATGAATTCAATAGAACCACAGGATTTTAACTGACCAAAGAGAGATTATAAAATCAACCAGTCAGAGTTTTATTAGAATATAAAGAACTATTCTAAGAACCGTTTGTATATTCGAATGATAAGGAATAAAGTAATAAAGTATCCGTTGACAATCTTAGCTGAAGATCTAATGATCTGATGAACGATGCTGAATGATGAGGGAAAACGGCGCGCCGCGCTTAAATAACTGTTCTTGTCTAACCTAAGTGCCAATAATTTCGATATAAATCGGGAAAGTATCACTAATTACAAATGTTCTAATTTTACCAACGTCTGCTAGCCCGATATATCCAATTTCTGTTGCTTTGTACAAGATGGCCCGATATGGGTCAAATCTGTTGCGTCGTATGTGATTGGACTTGTATTACATTGGAGATCTATGCCGCAGGACTTGTCGATCGTTGGCCGCAAAGCCGGAGATTCGTGTAACTGAGCGGAAATCTCGGAGGAATACATAGACGTTAGAGCTTATCCATGACAAAGGTTGTTTACTTGTTGCTCAAAAGTTACGTTATTTAAATGGAACATGTTAGCTCTGTATCGATCCTCCTTATAGTCATGTGCTTATAAAAGGTTGTGACTGTATAAAAGTTTTTCCACAATTGTAATTAATAATAAAGATGTGCGCTTATTCAAAAATATCACAACGTTTATAACGAGTTGGTTAAGATCTAGACCATCTATTTTGCCCTTTTAGCTTACAATTTATTCGGCTAAACGTTTTGCCGTTCGGTTTCATGTGCATACATTACTTGCACCTTCCTATTCCCATATGTTGTATGCTGATATTATTTGATGCAAAAATAGTTTTTTGTTTTCGACCGTATTCAAATGTAAAAAATTTTACTTGCGAGACACATACTTTTATAATATTACCTAAAGAGCTATCAGTGTCATAATATTTGCTGCTGGTCATTGGTCGCGCTTAAACTTACAGAATTGACCATAAAAGGCCCCATTTTCTTGGAGATTAGTTTCCTGATAATCAACGGATGCACCGTTTTCAGGGATCAAATGATTTTCTTGGCGCTTCATATTCGAACCACAAACAACGCTTTTATGTTTCAACAGGTGTTAGACCATCGAATGTAGAATGGTTTTTCAATAGTTCCACACATGACTAACAAATATCTAAAATTGCTTACTCTTGGCAAACGCTGTGCAACGCAAAGTAGTGAATGACATTTTGCGCTAGCCAAGTTTGGTAACATTCGCTCTTACTTCAACGGGATTTCTTTAAGAGAAATGTTATTATCATTCCAGAGTTTAGAGGAAAGCTGTGATATAACACATAATAACAATACTTAAATGCGAGTCCAATCGCGGTGAAACCTCAAAAACCTATCTAACATTTTCAAAAAATCAGTTGCAACACAAGTCAAGCTGAAATTTAACTACCGAAATTATTTCTTCTCAACGTTTGCCAAATTACGAATAACACATCATATTTCGACAGATATCCTGAAAAGGAGAGATATGCAATAAACCGGGGGGTCAAAAAACTACCGCTACATATTCATTGTACAGACTTCATGTGATTTTTTACCTTAGTTCGGGTAAAAATGCTATTAACAGCCAGTTTAGACATAAATGGAATTGTGCATTTTAATTTTCAAATTTAAATAAACAAGGTAACAAATCGCACTCAATCTTTGCTTCAATACCTATTTTTAGAAAAGAGTTTGTACGAGAGTCACTTGCATGATCGTTATGAATGAAGATTATTTTTTAATTGGACAAATGGTCTTACGAAAGGGGGGATCCAAACTTTGTTAGCAAGAAGAGCAAGAAGAAAACTAAATAGCAAATATCAATACCAACATGTTTAAGGGCGACACTTGTTTCTGACAGTGATAACAATAACGCTTTTGCACAGTTTCAGAATATATTTCAATCACTGTCGGATAAATTCTTTGTTTGTCCCATACTCGTATACGTTTTCCCAACTTGGAGGTTCCACCAAAAATAACAGAAACGCGATAATATACTAGTGTAACCATTTGGTTAAACTCATATAACTTCCCTATTATTACATATATCTTTTTTATCTTCTTTCCTTTCACATAACGAGAAACAAGAACGATGGCGGCTATATCGGACGCTTTTTTGAATATTCCCTACAAGTACTGGAGTCTGGTGACTCTAGTCGTCCAGAACAGCACACTAGTAATAGTCATGCGGTACTCACGTCTCGTACCAAAGGAAGAACTATATTCTACTGCGACTGCAGTCTTCATGGCCGAGCTTATCAAGTTGGCACTATCTCTGTGGTTCGCAATCAGAACCCAAATAGCAGAAAAGAACAAATTTTCTGCATATGATCTTTACAGCGATGTATTCGCTGCAGACGCATGGAAGTTGATGATTCCGGCTGCATTGTACACTGTACAAAATAACTTGCAATATATCGCCGTCTCGTTCTTGGATGCTGCAACGTTTCAAGTCACTTATCAATTAAAAATCTTAACCACGGCTTTGTTTTCCGTGCTGATGCTCAAACGGACGCTAAGCGGCATGAAATGGATATCGCTAGTAATTCTCACTATTGGAGTGGCTTTGGTGTCCTTGCCGAACGATTATGATAAGACAAAAATCTCTAGTAAAGATAACGGGCTAGAACAGTTTGTTGGTCTGGGTGCGGTTTCGGTTGCTTGTGTGTTGTCGGGTATTGCTGGAGTATATTTCGAGAAAGTTTTGAAAGAAAAGAAGGAAAAGAAACCATCCGTCTGGGTTCGAAACATTCAATTATCATTCTTCTCGCTGTTCCCTGCATTGGTTTTGGGTGTTTGGTGGAAAGACGGCAATCTAGTTAGTGAACGCGGATTCTTTTATGGCTATAGTCCGGTTGTATGGAGTGTTATCTTGTGTCAGGCTATCGGTGGGCTTATTGTAGCAATGGTCGTTAAATATGCTGACAATATTCTCAAGGGATTTGCAACATCAATTTCTATTATTCTTTCCTTCATCGCTTCGGTTATTCTCTTTGCATTCCCTGTTACATTAATATTTCTTGCCGGTTGCGTTTTGGTCTTGGTTGCTACATATATGTACAGTCAGCCTGATGTACCCAAAGAATATTCGAGTCTTGCTGGCCAAGTGCAGATGGAGGCATTCAAGGAGGACGAGTCTGGTCCGAAAGGCGAAATGCGGCAATCATGATGATCTATTCAAATTAATGTACTTTTAGTATTTAAACGGACTGTTCTACAAGTAATCATGCTACTTCACCGTTTTATACAACAAAGCAAATCAATAGATTTTGGTGGTAGTGATGATTTTTTAGGGGTGTGTAATGTTGATTTTACTAATGATGATGACTGGTAATTACAAATTAAACATATTACATCCAAACAAACTTCTTTACTGTATTTCCTAATTGCAAGAGTGGTGTCTATTAAAATAATAGATTTTTAATACATAGTCTATTGATGCATTTGCGATTTTAACCGTTTGTGCTTTGGCTCTTCATCGTGTGTTTTCTCTTCGTCAGATACATCATCATGTATAATCTCATATTCTACACATGGTGTTTTGTGCATCTGTATTGGCACACCTTGCTCATCACGCGGTATAATAATACCATGAAAAGGGCATCGAATCATATCCCGGCGCGGGCACAAATGTCCATTTTTTAGTGGTGCACGACATGGCTGTATGTCAAGTTTAGTAGATTGAAATACGTTAAGTGAAGGTTCTTGTGATCTAGCGCGGTTATCGCGGTTTGTTGTCCCTGATGGTTGCGTTGTTCTTGCCAAGGACGAGCCAACGTCACTTGTCGATTTTCCTTGAACAAATTCTGGTATTACTACTTCTTCAAAGTCGGAATCGGCGTCCGAGTCGCTTGCTATTCTCGTAACTATATATGTACCAACTCGAATGTATCAGAATATAGAAGAAAAAATAACTCGGTCATACTCTGAAGACCAATTCATCGTACCTCCGTCATGAACACGTAACTCCTCACTCTTTGTTTTTGCCGTCTCAAGGGCTCTCTTCAAATCTATCGCTTCTTTCATAAGCGCTTCACGCTTCTTGTCATCCTACGTAAAAAAAATTCAACGTCAATATGGGATATCATAGTCAAACCGTTTTCGTACAAAGTTTACCTCCACATCCAACTTCATAAGCTCTGTAAGCCACTTTGATACAAAATCCAAATGTTTCAGCATCAATTTATAAGAGGCCCGAAGATTTTCATATACGATGGCATTATCAAACGTCTCCGAAACATCAACCGGGTTATGAGACGAAAGAGTTATTGTTAACTCGTAACGAACGGAACCTAAGCCATGCGTTTCTGCAATCTTACGAGAAGATAATGTGTTGGTTTTCCGTTTACGCAACAAAGACGCTAATGGATTACCATCACTGCTTACTTCTTTGTACGTCGGCTGGGAATTGTCATAGTCAATACAAGTGTCTGTATTCGACAGTACGTCTTCCATCGGCTTCGGTACTAGGATTTCAAAGCTGTTACCCTGAGAAACATAACATTATAGTCAGTAAAGAAAAAGTAATAGACCAGAGTAGAACGGATACAGACCATTATGCTAAGGTTCTCGACAATATCGCTACTTTTTTCTTGCATCTCGGCTTCGATCCTCAACAATCTCGAATATCTAGCAGACTTTGCTCGATTCTAAAAAAAAAAATAGACGATATGGACATTGTGACAAGTAGTATTTGTAACGTTTAAATAAAAGTTACATTACCTCTTCTATTCGCATCTGGTGAATACGATCGGAATGAGTAATAATATTGGCGTCAGTAGTATAAACCCTCGCATTATTCTTCAAGTAATCAGATGCTAAGCTTAACTAAACAGCAAAAGAACAAAAAACTCGAAACGTTAATATCGTTCGCCAAACATAAACCAAAGCTTTTTCACATAGTTCAATTAATTCACCTGCATATATGTCGAACCGAACTTTTCTTGCCATTGCTTAATTAAACCAACACACAAGGCTTTAAGTTTTCTGGCAAAATTTGCTGGCTGAGGTAAGATCTTTCCGTTAATGCCTGCTGTAAGCTCGAGGATTTTCGGTATGTCGACCACGGTTAACCTCCGAAAATAGCTGGATCGTGTAAACAGTACGTCGAGCAAATGCATCGTAGAGTACCGTACCTACAAACAAAATCTCGAATGTCAATATTCCGAGTATATGAGACCTCTAGCTTGAGAATCACTTGTTGAAACAGACCCTTGAGCTCCGTGCGTTTAATTGAGTTAGAATACAGTCATAAGCGGTTTTTATGTTTTCGTCCGATTCCCTGCATAGTAGCTTAAGCTCCTAAAAGTGTCAAGAAAGTTAAATTAACATGATAAACCAGAGCAAACATGAGATTTCGTAAAAGGCCTACTTACCTTGAGTCTTATTTCATCGAGGAATTCGTCGCCATTTCTCGTTAAGGCTGGAATAAGCTTGACGATTTTTTGCTTTGCTGTAGGTTCGATCGCTGCCATATTTGCAAACTTTGTAATGAAACACGTTTATATATTTGTGAAATCACCTTTTTCAATATTTAAAATTCTGCGCCACTTGACCTTTAATTAGAAAACGGCTTTTAATATTTATTAATTAATGGGAAAATTGTAACGTGCCAAGCTTTATTTATTATTATTATAACTTTTGAACTGGCTTTAATTGTAACAAATCTTTTTTATATTAAAACAATAATATTCATGGCTGAAAATCGGCTTAAAATATATTAGTATTAGGGTCCGAGAAAGCGCCAAAACAGACTAACGCTTTTTGAGGGAAGGCGTGATCATAACATCAAAAGACTAACGCGTCAGGTATATGCGACAGCCATTAATTTACATTTTAATTTAAATAGATCAAAGATAGTCTATTCGTATGTTAGTCTAAACAATTTCTTGTCGTTGACCGAAAGGAACCATGCTTAAAGACCAATTAAATTGCTTGATACCTAGACTTGCAATGATAAAGGTTTAATCATCGCACATCTTCAGTAAACAGGTAGTCTTCCTGGCGCTGATTTCGAGCTTCAAAAAACTGCATATATGCCATACCTTTCTATTGTTTCTACTAGAATTAGCTTTTGTATATCGCTGTTTGCTAAAATGTCCTAACACGGCGAGTTTTCGGTGAGTGTTTTTGCCACTGCATGTCTTCCGGTTCATGATTTCCTTTGGAACCACTTTAGATAGTATGTACAAGAACGCAGCAGGAGGAGAGAGAGAATCTAACGACAAGATTATCCTTTATCGAATTTCTTTCTTGTTGATAAACCACTTTGACTGTCTGCCCCCAACGAACTGTCTAGTATAATATAAGAAACTGTATTATTACAAGTCTTTCTACTCTAGATACACATCCTCCATATCCCAACGTCCGACTCACTGTCGATGCTGGCCTCTCATACCTGGTTCATTGTTCCCTTCTTTTCAACTCCTTTCACCTTCTCCAATGACTCTCCTTCGCCTCGTCTAATACTAGCCCATTTCGTATGCAGTTTTGCGGTGGCCGTAGAGGCAATTAACAAATGTTGTTTAGTTGCTAAAATAAGAACTTTCATCGTTTCCAACTGTTAATGGATACATTCGCAGTGTTTGTGAATACAAACTTTTGTTCCAAAACAGAAGCCATTAAACTTGAAATAATAAGACAAATAATAAAATTTAGCTTCAAAACGTTAAGAAGCGATAATGGTTTGTTGCCTCGAATTACTGTTTTTGCTTCAAGGAGAGAGCTTCACCTATAAATTCAAGCGTATACAGTATAACTTGTATAGAAAAATGTAACTCAATTGTGTAAGTATAAAGAACAGTTCCACAAGAGATTACGCAATGATTTCTGTGAATCATTTATTCGCAAACCACTTAGGCATCGTTATTATAATAAACATGACTTCTATTATCTTTGAGGACAAATCAGAGGAAAATTTTTGGGTAAACTTTATGAAAATGCAGCTGAACAAGGATATGCCGATGCACAATATCATCTTGGTTGGTGTTATGAGAATGGCACTGGAGTAGTAAAAGATGAACAGATGGTATCAAAAAGCTGCTGATGCTAAAGCACAATTTAAACTTGGTTTGCATTATTATTATGAGAATGGCATTGGAGTGGAAAGAGATGAAAAAAAGGCAGTTGAATGGTATCAAAAAGCTGCTGAACAAGGATATGCTGAAGCACAAACTAATCTTAGTTTGTGTTATGAGTGTGGAACTGTGGTAGAAAAAGATGACCAAAAAGCAGTTGAATGGTATCAAAAGGCTGCTGAACGAGGATATTAATATGCACAAGCACAAAAGAATTTTGGCTGGTGTCATGCAAGTGGAACTGGAGTAGAAAAAGATGAACAGAAAACAGTTGAATGGTATCAAAAAGCTGCTGAACAAGAATATGCTCAAGCACAATATAATCTTGGTTGGTGTTATGGGAATGGAATTGGAGTAGAAAAAGATGAACAAAAGGCAATAGAATGGTATCAAAAAGTTGCTGAACAAGTACAAGGTGATGCTCAAGCACAATATAATCTTGGTTAGTGTTATGAGAGTGAAACTGGGGTAGAAAAGATGAACAAAAGGCAGTTGAATGGTATCAAAAAGCTGCTGAACAAGGATATGCTCAGGCATAATTTAATCTCAGTTGGTGTTATCAGTTTGGAGTGAGAAAAAATGAACAAAAGACGGCTGCTTGGTATCAGAAATTAGCTGAACAAGGTGATGCTGTTGGACAGTTTATGCTTGGTTATTTATATAGAAAAAGTATTAGCATAAAAACAGATTATCAAAAAGTTTTTGAATTGTATCAAAAAGCAGCTATGCAAGGAAATTCTGATGCACAGGAGAACCTTGGTTGGTGTTTTGAAAATGGAATTGGTGTTGATAAAAATGTTCAAAAAGCAGTTGAATTGTACCAGGAAGCAGTCAATCAAGGCAATGTTTATGCATAAGTCAGTCTTGGTCTATGTTACAAGAATGAAATTGGGGTAGAAAGAGATATTCAAAAAGCTATTGAATTGTTTGAAAAAGCAGCTGAAAAAAAACATGCATTAGCATATTAATATGGACAATATAATCTTGGTTGGTGTTATGAGGAAGGGATTGGAGTAAAACAAGATGAACAGAAAGCTATTGAATTATATGAAAAAGCTGCTGAGTGAGGGTATGCTAAGGCAATAAATAAGGTTTATTTTTTTAAATACAGTGACAAATCTAAGTTAAAAATAAAGATCCAAGAGCTAGCAAAAACTTATCCATCCAAAAAAAATAATTAGAGTAAAATTGGTTGTTTGATATTGAGCAATTTTTTGTTGTTTATAATTTTATTATCAGTTTTGATATTTAACATGGGTTTTTTATTTAGTTTTAGTTATTATATTCTATCAAACAAATTGATATCATTCATTATTATATAAAAGAGACAAAAAAAGAAAAAATACTTAAAAAAATTGCTAACTGTCAAGAATTTATAAATGATTTGGAAAAGAAGAGTGAGAATATTTAGCTAACCTTCAAGAGGCCATCAATACCAAGATGCCTGACATCCAATAATTACAAGAAAAAGCTGGGAAAAAAATTAAAAAAAAAAACAAAACTACTGGCTAAAGAATTAAGGGATGGCAAAAAACAAGTCCCTAAGCCTTTACTATTACCTTTGTCATATCGACGCTTATGGATGACGTATTCCTCAGTGATTTCCGATCGGCAATACAACATTCCAATCGACAGCGCAGCATAAAATCCGGTGTAACGAAAGTAATTTCATATGACGTTACTCAACACTGATGGCCCGATATAGGCATCAAATTGCACCACTCCTAATAATAGGCAACATATGGCACTACGAACTCGCCCAATATAGTCAACGTTTTGCACCGGTAATCTTACCCCGATATGGGCATGGTTTTGCACCGCTAGCTATGTACAGAAAATATATATATAAGCAGCGTGGTTTAGATGCTCAAACAATATCGAATTGTATCGAATTGTTAATCAATATTTCCTCTCAATATGATCATCTTCAGCTATCTTTTCTTATAATTGTCCTTTTAGAATAGTTCTTTATATTTTAAACAAATAAACGTCCATAAATTGATGTGAATTTGTATTCTTTTATTTCGCAAGTGTATTCCTAAGGTTAACACAAGGCCGGAGTTATAACGAAAACGTTATCTGGGCTCTGGTTGCAATTTACGAATTTTGCAATCGTAATTGCGTGTTCTCGGCCTGAAGAATTATTATTTC